CACTCATGCTCCCCCATTCTCTACCCAAATAGCCCCAGCCACAGTGGCAACCATGTGCCAAATCTCCAATGGCCTTTTGTACACTGCATTGTCTTTGCATGTTTAGGTCTATATATCCCTCAGCATATAGCGGCCCCCCTACAAGGGGACCATACAGTACTCCCCCATTCCCTAGTGAACTCAAGCTAAATCTCCAGTTCTGGCCCTTGGTAGATGCTCAGTAAATATTTGTGGCATTGTTTACACAAAGACATAACATAGCCTCTTGGGCAAGTTATTGAAGGTCATGCAGTAGTTATCTGGAAGAGAACTGAACCCAGGTCAGCCTCATTCCAAAAGTCATGGTTTAATGTGCCATTAACATGTCAAAAGCCCAAATTGAGCCACTTTATCTTGGTACTATACTAGTTCCTTTAACTAGGAACTAGTTATGCAGTATGGGTCTAAGTGACAGGATGGGTTAGGGAAAAGAAATCTATGAAGGCCTAACTTTAGGGAAGCTACTCAAGTTCTCGGAGGCTCAGTTTCTACAGAATTATCATGGGATTTTTCTAGAGTGGCTACATTCTCATTTGTTCTAAAGCAACATCATAGATACAATGTAAGGTCACAGCCTTCTTCATCCTACAGCTCTGCTCTCTTTACCATTGAGTCCACTCTCTATAGTCTCACCTCCTCATCAGTTCTCATTATAATTCTTCCTCTGCTCCTACTGAGCTATTTACACTGCCCTCTCTAAGTTCACCAATGGCCTCTTAGTGACAATACTACACACTCTCTTTGTAGTCCTTATCCTCTTGACCTCTGTGGAGCAATTCATAGCATCATTTCTATGGTATCTGCTAAACATCTTTCCCTTTGTTTTAACCAAAGTTTTAGATGGTTTTCACTTCTATCTGTCTCTAGGGCTATTCCTTTTCTCAAATGCTTGTCATCCTTCACTACTCTAATCATATCCCAATGTGTCTTACAGGCTACTGTCTGCTTAGTCTGCCACCAAGCTACATGAGCTGTTTTCCCTAAATTCAAATCTATCAGCTAATTCTCCAATTATACACTTGACTATTTCCCATTGGTCACAGGATCAGAGCATATATCACTGTCCAGTTCTCACATGCCACCACTCAGGTTGCTGGAGCCTAAGACAGAGAACTTCAGAATCCTTTTGTAATGGCTAATCTTGGTTTTCAACTTGACTGGATCTGGAATCAACTAAAACGCAAACTGCTGCTTGATCAGATTAGGTGAAGCGGGAAGACCCACCCTAAATGTGGTGGCACTTTCTGGTAGCAGCCCAGATAAACAGACAGGGGAGAAGGAAAATTTGCTTTTGGCCTGCTTGCCTTCACTCTTGCTGGCGAGTTTATCTTGTTGCTTAGCATTTCTAGCTGATACTAGAACCAGCTTCTTCAGGCTTCCAACATAGACTGAAGATGATCATCTCTACAGGAATCCTTCAGAACTTCAGCACCAGATGGAATCTCTGGGACATCCAGCTTCATGTATGGAACAGCTCCCAGATTCTTGGCCTTTCCAGTGTGAGACAATCATTGTTGGGCTACTCAGACCACCATATAGTATAAGCCAACCTAATTATATATACATATACATACATATATATATATATATATATATGGAGAGAGAGAGAGAGAGAGAGAGAGTGTGTGTGTGTGTGTGTGTGTGTGTGTGTGTGTGTGTGTATGTGTTCATTCTATTTCTATTGGGTCTGTTCTTTTAGGAAGCCCAGGCTAATATTCCTTCTTACGACAACTTCCAGGTAGTTACTAACAATCAGCAAGTATCACCCTAAGATGCAACCTATTCATCCACAAAGTGACTTAAGCCTGGTATGAGCCTCATTTCCTATGCCTTCCTTCCTACCCAAGCTCTATGCTCTGAGCTTTCCTAACACACATGCTCTTTCTAGCTACTTGGCCACAGTCCTCATTGTCATGTTGTGATTATCTTCCTATCTTCCCCAGATCATTCTACAGAATCCAGAACATAGTAGATACCAAATAAATGCCTAGCTATGGAAGAATGACTAGATGAGACCCTTTAATTTTAAATAAAGTAGGTTTAGAACTTATAGCATCTGCATGGAGACAGTGCTTGGTTTACTGCCCAAAGGAAATTTTCTTAGATTCACCTGGACCCAGAATTTCACTGATGCAAGGACAGTATTAATGGTAACAAGAGTAATCATGATGACAATAGCTACTATCCAATAAACTAGTTAGGATTTTAAAAAAAAAAAAAAAAAAAAAGAACAGATCAGTCTTTAATTATACTTAAAGATAAGAGCTAAATAAAGACTATTCTGGGCATAAGGAATTCCTCTTTGATCTGCTATCCAAAATATGACAGCAGTCAAAAAAACTCTGCTGAAAGCAGCTTTAGTTCGTTTATTAACACAGAGGTCAGAGCCAAAATTAAGACTCCATTACTCATATAGATATCTGGGCTGAGCAGCAAACAAGTAATTTTTCTTGACAGCATTTTATAGTGGCTGTCTTTAAGATTATCCAAAGATATTTCTTTCTTGGTCTAATCTACATCGGTAAAGATTTTCTGTGCCTGTTATGGTTTAGGTCTCAAATTTCCCCTATTGATTTAGTGTTGAAAGATTGGTCCTAGTGCAGAAGTATTCAGAGATGGGCCTATTGAGAGCTGACTGGGTGCTAATGTCATCAGTGGGTTAGTCAATTGATAAGGTTTATCTATTGATAAGATCATAGCTAATCAATCAGAGGTGGAGCCAAGTTTGAAGTAGGTCACTGGGAGGGTACAATCCATCAAGGTGGAAAAGTCATGGCAACAGGAGCTTGAGGCAGTTGGTCACATCATCAGGAAGTAGAGAGAGAAAAATGCTGTTGCTCAGTTTGCTTTCTTTTTATTCAGTGCGGGACTCTAGCTCCTGAAATGGTGAGACCCACGTGAAGGTGTGCCTTTCCACTTCATTTAACCCAGTCTAGAAACTCCTTCACAGATGCTCAGTGGTTTGTCTCCCAGATGATTCTAGACCCTGTCAAGTCGACAACATTATTCATCATATGGGGAATGACTTTGACAGGTATATTTTGTTCCTACTCCTCTCCTCCAGCCCTCTCTGCTTCCCCACTGCCATGAAATGAGCAGCTTTGTTGCAACACATATTACCTACCATGATGGGAAGCCAAGAAACAATTTGGCCAAGTGGCATGGCATGGACTGAAATCTCTGAAACTGTACTGAAATAGAGCTTTCCTCCTTCTGAGTTGTTTAGCTCATGGATGTCATCAGATGGGTGGGGAACTAAATAACCCAAAGTCTTAAAAAATAGCTATTACATTTAGGGGAAAATCAACTTTAGGTGACAAACATTTGGGGTATGATAAGTACTAGTTATATGGTGCGCTTAGAGACTAAGATTGTATATTAGCACACTGGGCATAAGAAGACTATAGTCAGAAAACTTGTTTCCATGGTGCAATTCTGCTTGTGGATTTGGTATGAGAACCTCTTCATACAGAATGCCTCACATTTAGTTCCATGAAATTAGTATTGGAAGGCACTGACTTGAGAGGATCTAAGAAATATAGTCTTCCTGTCCTACTCTATCAGTAGACGTATGCAAAGGGGATTGCAATGAAGCCCTTTCTGACTTAGAGAAAGGAAGATTGACTATGCTTTAGGCCAGAATAGACTCAAGTATAGTATTATTATTTACATGATAAAATTCAACCCTATATGAAGGCTGGAGAGGAAAAGGCCAACTCTTAATCAATCCTTTAAATTAGCAATTTAGTTATGATGGCCATATCACACAGCCATAGGAATTTATATTTTCATTTTGTCCTAAAGAAAAACTTGACCATCTTTCTTTAATATTATCAACCTGGAAGCTTGACAGTAAGGATTAAAAATTGCTCCTTCCTTCCTACTTGGTTATTGGAAAGGCTCTGAAAGGTAATCATTCTTGTGAAGCTACACTTTACAGTCTGCATAAAAATGCCATGATTTCCTTTCCTCTCCCCAACCTAATTGAAAGTGCATAATATCACCCAGCTGGGGAAATGTAAACCGTAAACATATGCAATATATCATGCTATCACACAAAAGCTGGCTACTGTGAGGGACTGGGTAGTTGTCAGAACCCTGAGAAATCTGGAAAATGAGTTTTTTCTTTCATCTAGAATAAGAGCTTTTTGCATCTTCCTTGCACTTCCTCCCTCCAGATTTCAAGCAGTAGCAGTCAGATTAGAGCAAGGTGGGTCACCTCCTTCCTTGCATGTGCAACTCCAAGGGTCACCTAATGGTGCATATTCACTGGAGCTCTTTTTGATCAGTCTTTCAAGATAGGGCATTTTTCTTTTGGCAAGAGGTGGGGTTGGAATCATCTCTGTCCTTTCTTGCTTCAGTTGTACTGAAGGATGCTCTCACCATCTCTTTCCTTTGCTGCCAAAGCTAAAGGTCACCTCCTATCTTTCTCTCCCTCACCAAACTCCTAGTGCCAAGATCGTCTCCTTTTCTACCTCTGCTCATCCATGAATAGCTAGACAGTCAAGGTTTTCTAGAGTATAAAATCCCAATCTTATTTTTCCAAATTTCCTGGTACTTCTACAGTTATCTATAATCTACTTCAATTAAACCTATTTGAAAGTCATTTGCTCTTCTCTGACTTCTCACCTCCAAGTTTCATGCCATCTTCTTGAATAATTCTCTTATAATAGGGCTCTTAGGACAAAAGACAATATTCCTTCAAAGTTTTCATCATTACTTCTGACACCGTATTTCTGCAAAAATTGCTCCCTGGTATACTATCTGCTCTACAGTGCCTATCCATTCACGCCACCTTATAAATGGGTATGGTTTTATGTCAAAGTAGAGCACTTGTCTAGGGTGCCATGTCATTTCAGTTTTCATAGATCGAAGGGCATATTTTTATTTACTTCTGCAGTAGAGATGATTTGAAACTTACTGAATTAAAACTGCATTCATCTTTCACTAAGTCATATTACCTGTCAACTGGAGCTGGTGGATGATATGGCTTGTTGACCTTGGCATAGAGACCCTCTAAGTGGTCTCTCTCTGGAGACAGTGGACGTCCATCCCGAGGGTAACTGAGTGGTCCAACCCGAGGAGGAGATGGAGATCTAAAGACATTTGCTGATGCACATGGTTCCCGAAAGTGGTTGACTCTGGCATAATTGGGGTCCATTTCATCATCGTCCATGTCGTGCACTGATCCAATCACTCCAGTGGCATAATCAACAAGACCTCTTGTCTGCTTTTCCCTTAGCTCCTGATGTTTTGCTCCAATCCTGAAAAATACAGAAGAGAGAGCAGAGATGAATGTGAGTTTCATCTGCTGATACAATGAAATGCTCTCCTGAATCCATGTTAACTCTTGCTAGCCACTTAGCTGACACTTTCCTGTTTACTCGAGATCACACCATGCAGAAATGCCATCGGCATAAGAGGATTAATTTTATATCCATAACCTTTTTTTGTCACAGAGTCTTCACTTTGATAGCAACGCTATAGGCATTTGGGCTGATAGTCATCCCTCCATACAAAGGAGTGGTATTTGTGGAAACAGTACAGCTCTAGAGTAATACCATAAAAATCTTTCATAGGACAAGGATGTATGTGAAAGAGCCCATCAGAATCCTACACTTCTGCTGACTTCACTCTTTAGTACCCTAGAGTTTCAGTGCATTCCACTGGAGAAGGGTTTGCAAAAATTGATTTAAATATGAAAAAGAAATACAGAGGCTGTCTCATCACTAAAAGCAGTGGAATCTAGGGTAATTTATAAGAGACTCTAAGTTTTTTGGTTACACAAATGGGGATCATTGTGTCTCATTATACAAGGGCTAGGGACAGAGTAAAAATAATGAAGAAATTAATAGGCTTGTGACAGAGATGAATTGGCACATATAAGTGAATTAAACACCATTACTGGCAGAACTCCACAGTGCTAAAGCTTTAAGTGGTATTACAGAATGTTACTGCTATTCAGTGACACTACACAGACCACTGGGGATGGAGCAGAGATATACATTTAGGTGGATTCCATATCTACCTGAATTATGAGAATCTGATACTTTATCTGGAGAGCATTAGATCGGTTCTCTTCGACTCCCACTTATGTGGTAAGGTGGAAAGATCATGGGGATGTCCTATTGGACGATGGTGGTCTGGATGATGTCAAGAAGCCCTCAGCACTAATTTGAAAGGATTTAACTTTCCATTCCTGAGAAAAGAAGATGCAGAATTTATGAGATAAGAGAGTAATATGGGGGTTGGAGAGATGGCTCAGTGGTTAACAGCGTTGGCTTCTCTTGCAGAGGACCCAGGTTTGGTACTCACATGACAGCTATCAACTGTCTGGAACTCCAGTTCTAGGGGATCTGATGCCGTCTTCTAGCCTCTGCAGGCTTGCATGCATGGGTGCACTTACATTAGGGCAAAATACTCATATACGTAAAAATAAATTTAAAAATTAAAGAGTAAGATGATACTAGCTTAGGTGGCTAAAGAGAATTCAAGGAAAGATAGCAACAGAGCTGAGGTCCAGGACTCAGAGAAGATATGAGGACTACGGCTAGTGGTGAAGGATCCGCCTGGACCTGCGCACACTGACAGAAGGGCTGCGTGAGTTACAAACAGAACCCGAGGCCCCTCAGCATCATCTCCTCTTCAAACAAAACAGTTGTTTTTGTACATGGAAGCTAGTTTTATTTTACAAAACATCAAATCCTTTGTCAAAACCTTTAGAAGTCATGATCTTTCAAGGTACTTTTTCTTCTGACAGGACAGTGTTTTTATTTTGGATTTTTTAGTAGAAAGGAGAAGAAATCAGTCAAGAGAAAGAAAAAGCAACAGAATAAAACAGTAAGAAGGTACAGAGTGAAAAAGCAGCATCTGTCTTCAGGTCACACCACATGAAAATAAATGCCAGGACACATTAGTGAATATCTGTTTCGGGTAGGCCAAAAAAATGTACCTTACATATAAGTAATTGGGATGATTTATATTTTTGTATAAGGCATTGAGTCTCTAAGGGATTTTTAATTAAGATAAAAGGCAGATTACACAGTAGTGTACTCGTTAAGGGGCCTTGCCTGTCCCCTTTCAAAGCATGTTAGTCCCAGATTCACGGATGTTTGTTTTGAATATTTTTTTATAGACAAGACAACTTGCTCCATTTTCCAATGAAACAGTGTTTCCAGGGATTGTTTTGACTGCATTATTGGAGAATGCTCATTGCACTATGAGGATAGTGATGGATTTCCCCTACAAATACAGAGAAAGTCGTTGGTAAAATCAGGGGTGGGATATTGTGTGTATAAGCCCCCTTATAAGTGGGATGCCTTTAAGAGAACTCTGTCAGTAGAGCGATAAATGGCTCATGGCTTCCACATGGGGCTACACTTGTGTATTAATGGAAGAGGAAAATCCCAAACCAGATTTTCTAAATCATAGAACACTGGGATCTGTGTTTCCTGATTTCACCCTTTCCCTTTCTTAGAGGTTTTCTTATTAAGCTTGCTGAGTATGTACAGATATTCTCAGATGAAAAAAGCTCTCCGTGTGTGCCAAGCAGTATTGTATCTTGTATTTTTCCTTTCTAAAACAAAACCAAATTCCTCCTCCATCTTCTCTGCACCACTGAGGGTTGGAGTAACTAATTTCATATTAGTCACTCAGTAGGTGAAATAGTAATTTCTCTGAACCATCATTATTATGCCATATATCAGGGTATCTCCATGTGGGGGAGGACAAGGCAATCTCTGAAAGGGGGTGCATGGAGGCAGAAGAGACTCTCTCAAGAGAGTGCCAAAGAAAAAAGATTTCATTTCAGTATCTCTGACCCACCCCCATCCCCAAGTAGAATAGGAAGTCTAATTGTTTCTAGTTGTTTCCACTTGGAGGTCTCTCTACCATTGGGAACTCAACCTGTTTAAATATCGAAATTTTAGAAAGGCCTTTGCTAATATAGCCCATTTTATTTCCTGGTACTACTGGCATACCCATTCTCTTGGGCACACCACCTCTGAATTATTTAAATCTCCATTTTCTCTCTTTGAAACACTATTGTCTCTTCTTTCCATAACACTTTTTGGATGTTCCTTTTCAATTTTCATTTCCTTGGCCATAGTTAGTAACCAACTTTTGTATTTTCTAGCTCAGCACTGTCTAATTATGCTAGCCATTTTCTGTCTATGCTCTATACATTTACATTTAAGTTAATTAAATAAATGCATTTTTTCAGTCTCATAAAACACATTCAAGTGTTTAATAGCTACATGTAGCCAGTGACCACTGAATTGGTAGTGAAGATGTCGACTAACTCCATGATTGCAAGAAGTCCCATTGGACTGTGTGAGTCTAAATTTTTCGGAGAGTTTTGGCATATCACGTTATCCCACTCTCACCTGTACCAGAGAAGCTGCTACAATAATCTTCTTTAAAGAGCTTTTCCATTGCATCAGTCAGGTCAAGAATCTCTGCCCTGGAGATTATCATAAATGACTAAGTGAGAGCCTGGTTACCTCACTATTCTCACTGAAACTCTACCTGAGCAAATGATCAAGAAATAGGGAAGAAAATTAACCTAAAATGGAGTTAGAAAATGGCTACAACCCTACACTTTGCACTGAAACTGAGACCCATGTAAAAATGGGGATTATGCCTAGAGCTAATACATGTTTACATTTCTAGGAGGGCACACATTTCCCTGAAGTAAAGGAAAAAGTCTGCAAGAGTATAGTCAGCATACTTTTACTCAGAAAAAAGAGTCTGAGAACAGGAAAGGATGCTGGGATTGTGGGTAGGTCTTTTTGAAGACCCGGCTTCAGAGTGGAGAAGTGGGGCTGGAAGAGCTAAATGCCTTGTGATGAGTCCCCTGTCTGTGAGTAAACGTCATGGAGATGAAATGGGGAGAAAAAGAAGGAGCAAACTGTATTGTATTTGGAAGGTGTGAGAGTAGAGATAAACCCAGACTCATCAAAATAAAGCCAATCATTGAGGAGACCTCATGGAAAAGCAGGTTCATCTGTTGTCATAACCTTCTCCCCTGAATGGAAGACCATAGAAAATAAACTCCTAGGACAGTGACATAGCGAACCGGGAAAGGAAATTAATTTGAAAGAACAAAGAATTGAAGCTATTGGTGACCTTACATTACTATTCCCGTATTACTTAATATGATGTTTTAGCATACATTTTTCTTTAGATTTCAAACATTGTAGGTCAGGAAGCATATTTAATTGGTCATACAAATATCTGAAAATTAAACTGAGTAAAAGAGAAAACAGAGCTCAGTGCATGTAATAAACTTAAGTATTATTTCAAGAAGGAGAAAAACAAAGTCATCTGAAATTCCGGCAGATTCATGGTGGTCTCAATATGAACAAAGACAAAAGGAAAACACTCTGAGACACTTAAAAACACAAAGGGAATATTGTACTTGCAGAGAGTCATCTTGAAAAACTACTTAATTTAAAAAGTAGCAGTATTAGCTACTTTTTGTATTCTCTGACAAAATTCCTAACAAAAAACAACTTAAGGGAGGAACGTTTTATTTTGGCTTGCAGTTGGAGGGGATACAGCCCATCATTGTGGGGAAGGTGGGGGCATGAAGTAGCTGTATTCACAATCAGGATGCAGAGAGCAGATGGGAAGTAGAACCAGGCTCTAAATCCTTAAGCCTGGCCCTAGTGAAGCACTTTCTCTAGCAAAGTTCCACTTCTTAAAGGTTTCGTAAATCTTCCAAAACAGTGTCACTAGCTGGGGATCAAGTGTTCAAACACATGAGTTATTGGGGGCATTTTGACATTCAAACCATGAGAGCAGATAACCAAGAATTGAATCAAAATGAAGAAATCAGCCTGGTTCCTCTTGTCTGAAGGTACTCTCAAATTTGTGTGTTACAGGGTAATTGGCGTTGTGTTGGTGTCAAAGGATGGGGTCTTCTGGAAGAGGCTGAATTCCCCAACCTCCATTACTGTGAGAAAGTAAGTTTCTGTATTGCCTGCATGTAGGTAAGTGCACCTGCGTCATGCAATGCCCACAGAGGTCAGAAGAGGCTGTTGGATCCCCTGCAACTGGAATTATGGACAGTTGTTAGCTGCCATGTGGGTGCTGGAATTCGAACCTGGGTCTTCTGCAAGAACCAGTGTTCTTAACCATTGAGCCATCTCTCCAGCCCTTATTATTTTTTATTTTATGTGTATGTGTGTATTGCCTGCATGTAGGTAAGTGCACCCATGTCATGTAATGCCCACAGAGGATAGAAGAGGCTGTCAGATCCCCT